ATCAAGGAAAAATAAATAATATCAATTAATATCAAAAAAGATAAATTTCTTTCTCGAGGACAAGAAAGTTTTAAGATAATCCGATGTATCCTATATCTCTCGATTAAAGTAAAAGTGAATAAGTTAAATTATGTTTAGCAGAAGGAGGATAATGTATATGTATAACGTGTGTAAACATATATGCACTTTACACATACATATCCTACAGTACCTCCACGATGAAGGTAGCAAGAATAGGGTACGAGAGTCGAAGATATTGAAAACCAGAAAAACCGGTCCCTTCCTTTTGACCCCCCTCTTCCGTAACGCGCGCCATTCTCCACGCAGAAGTCACAGGTAGGTTCGTAGCAGCTGATGTATCGAGTATCGTGCCACGTCGACGCCTACCCACAGACCGCAGGTAAGACAAACCTTTTCCAGTCAAAAATCCGTCGGTTCAACGGATATTTCGTTCAAGAGAGCTGAGTAATGCACAATAAAATCCAAGCAACGGTATAATCCATACCAATGACACATGATCATCGAACCTTCATATAACCTTTTTTGAAGCATCATTCAATCTATGCATACATATATTTACATAATTCTCACTCAGTAAAATTACTTTTATAAATAAAAGATATTACGTGTAAAACAATGTTTAATTTGAAACTATTTGAAGAAGTAATATTTGACATGTTTGTATTGAGTTATCAATAAAAGAAGAAAAAGATGAGATTGGTAATTTGATACCTGACTTATATAGGAGTAAAATATTTTGTCAATTTGAAGATTTCTTGAGAAGGAGCATCTTCATATTTGCCTTGATGGCTCCTCTCAGTTTACACTGTCTTGCAACCGGTTCTCGTGTGCATACTAGGTTAATTTATTTGACCCACCGACTATGCTCGCTTCCAATTAGTTTCCAGGGTATTAAGTAGGTATCCTTTTATACCACGTTGCCTTCACTGGAATTCAGGATCAGCCTGCGACTATTAATAGTAACGATTCCGCAGTCCGTTCGCGAACTAGACATTATATATGATCATTCTGAATTGAGTGGGTGTGAAACATATTGCTGAAGATCATTATAAACGTTCTCACGTGTTCTTTCATTTCATGTATTTTTTAACACCCTTAACTCTTTCTAAGTTCTTTCAAATAGCCAAGATTTATTTGCCTAACGGTTCCTCAAGAGAAAGTATAGTCAGATTTATATTTACAATTACAAGGGACCGAAAAGGAATAGTTAAGAGTCTTAACTTAAGATAAGGAAATGAAGTCCAATGTTCCCAGTAAGAATATTTTGACTTGCAATCTATGTATCTGAGATATTCTTATTCGGTTTCTATTTTATCTGATCGCTTCCAATTCAAGATGATAGAAATAATTCTGTAAGTGAAGTTCTATGAGATTAATGTATTTCTTGTAAGAACTTAACGAATACGTATACGTATTAGTCAATGTTTTGAAACTAATTTAAATGAAAAGCCTGAGATATTTTTTGTAAGATATGAAGCAGCGAAATATATTATTTAATTCGAAAAAAAAATTTCCGATCCTGCCAGGATTCGAACCTGGAATCTTCTGATCCGTAGTCAGACGCGTTATCCGTTGCGCCACAGGACCAATTTTGATTATATTTTTTATACAAAAACTATAAACATATTGTTAAATTGTATTTACATTTATATAATATTTTATTCGAATAAAGTAAATCTCATAAAATCTTAAAAGCAAAAAGTTTAATCGTAATTATATCCTTATCTATTATCCATATGTAACAACTAAATAATATAACCATGTAACAATTTATTAGCGCTTAAGAGACATAAATTAATTTTATGTACTTGCCAATATTTTGAATTCAGAGCTTTCTTTCCAGGAATGCTAATGGTGATTTGGATTACTCCGTGATAATCAAACATAATAGAGATACAGTTACGTTACTGGAGACATCATCAGCTGCAGATAAGAATATGATATAGCAAAATATCAATTTATAGAAAAAGTTCACTGGAATGCAATGTCAGAGAACTTTTTTTTATCGATAAAGCACAACAACAAAATTAGATAATTACATTTAAATGTAATACGTCTAGGTGTTTCTGATATAAAAAAGAATATAATTTAGATTATAATAAAGTATATTTATTAATATGCACAAACGGATCTCCAACTTGCATAATTAATACATGATTAATTAGAGTTCCGCTGATTTAATGTCGATTTGATACTGAAGTAGCTTCTGTTTATCTATATTAAGTAATCCGTGGAATAATGGAGATTAAAAAATGTGATTATTTATTAGGGATAATTGCTGTTCATTACAGTATCAGTCTAAAATGGTGTAAAATTTCAGATGCGAAACGATATGTTAAGCATGATACACGTAATACGAAACGTGTGTGATACATGTGATCTTCTGATTATTTCTTTCGAGTTTTTCTTAATAACTCTGAATAACTTAATAATTAAGATCATCACGTATTTTACTCGTGAAAATTTAAATATATATGATTTTATTACAAAATATTTTCATTTCAAACATCTTTATACAATCAATGAAAGTTGAGCTATATAAAAACCATAATTTTCGAATGATTAATGAGCACGATATCAATGATGTAAGATACACAAGAAGATAAATAATATTATTACTGATAAAGCAGTAAACTGTAGTTATTCAATGATTACTCTATCTGAAAAGAGTATACTTATCTTTTAAAAATTTTCTTCACAAACTTGTGGTCGAGAAAGGAGTATTCAAACTTCAAACAAAAGAATCGTGATATGTATCCTAAAGGAGAGAAACTACGTTTATTAGAAACGTAAATATTCGTAGTTACGTGTTTTAAACAAATATTTCGTGGTCCTTTTCCTTGAATTTAAACAAGATTGTGCAGACAAATGCCATAATTCGCTTTCTATACTACGCATGCGTAAACGCGTCTAAAATTTTGCTGAAGACCGATGTTAACCGAGCGTGATCGAACTTAAACGAATGGCGACCCCAAGTTTTGTGATCGGGCCGGTGCGACGGTTGAAAGAGATAGAAAGTGGGGTTAGATTGTAGTAAAGAGACGAGAGAGAGAGAGAAAAAGATAGAAAGACAGACAGACAGACAGACAGAACTAAGACAGGGAGACACAAGATAGAAAGAGAGACGAGCGTTCGCAAGTGGGGATAGAATCTTGGTGTGCAGCAGAAGTAAACGTACCTACAGTATCGCATCTCCGACCAGACTGTGTACAATCGGCAAGCGAGACGGAGATAAGACGTTGTACAGTGTACGCAAGAGAGAAAAAACGAACGGACGAAGAAGAAGGTAGATAGAGAGGAAAGCAAAAGGGAGCAGCTTGTGGAACGGCATGTCCTCGCGTGCTCGTGTCGTAGAGCGTTTCTGAACGCAGCCATTACGACACAACCGCTCTCGGTGACGCTTTGCTGCGGTAGAGCCGTGCTCACGCGCGTAGTGGTCACGGAACGATCGGAACGGGGCACACGTGTTTTCGAGAATTCGAGCAAAATCTCGGTAAATGAAATTTATTTTAGTGATTAAATATCGGTAAACGATATCGTGATAAGCGAATTTTTTTTAAAAACTTTGTTTTTGTGCGTGTACAGGAAAGCCTACGGACGCCTTTTGACGCACGGCGTCACGTCGCGCGGATCGACAACCCGAGAGTGGCTCGACCGAAATCGCTTGATTTCTCTTTTGTGGTACCAATTCGAAGAAAAATAACTAACCATGTTTGACGTATTCGGCTCGGTAAAAGGATTGCTCAAGCTCGACAGCGTTTGCATCGATAACAATGTCTTTCGGCTGCATTATAAAGCTACGGTGATCATATTAATTGCTTTTTCGTTACTCGTCACCTCCAGGCAATATATAGGAGATCCCATAGATTGTATCGTGGACGAGATACCGCTTCACGTTATGGATACTTACTGTTGGATCTATTCGACGTTCACGATCCCCGATCGAACCGGCGTTGTCGGCAAAGACATAGTACAGCCGGGTGTTGCATCCCACGTTGACGGCGAGGACGAAATCAAGTACCACAAGTATTATCAGTGGGTGTGTTTCACGCTATTCTTCCAGGCGATACTATTTTACGTACCGCGTTACCTGTGGAAGACTTGGGAAGGCGGCCGAATCAAGATGCTAGTTCTCGACTTGAACTGCCCTGTGATGAGCGACGAATGTAAATCGGAAAGAAGAAAGTTACTGGTCGATTATTTTGCGTTGAACTGGCACACGCAGAACTTTTATGCATTCCGCTTCTTCCTCTGCGAAGTGCTGAACTTCGTCAATGTGGTCGGTCAGATTTACTTTATGGATTTTTTCCTGGACGGCGAATTCACCACCTACGGTTCGGACGTGGTGAAATTTACAGAAATGGAGCCTGAGGAGAGGATCGATCCAATGTCACGGGTATTCCCAAAGGTAACCAAGTGTACCTTCCACAAATATGGTGCATCTGGCACGGTGCAGAAATTCGACGGTCTCTGTGTGCTACCATTGAACATCGTCAATGAGAAGATATACGTGTTCCTGTGGTTCTGGTTCATCATCCTGTCTGTGTTGAGCGGTTTGACCCTGGCTTACCGTGCCGCGGTGGTAGCCGGGCCGAGGCTCCGCTTGGTGCTGTTGCGTGCCCGCTCGCGCCTCTCCAAGCCAGAGCATATCGAGGCGATCGCGGAGATGTGCCAGATCGGCGACTGGTTCGTTCTTTATCAGCTTGGCAAGAACATAGACCCAGTGGTGTACCAGCAACTTGTCGTTGATCTTGCCACGAAACTACAGGGCAAAGAATCTGTCTAGTTTTTTTTTCATATCTAAAATTCCTCTTTTTCTTTTCTCCCC